TAAATAAATAAATAACAATGGATAAATTAAATTATTCAACTTTAAAGAAATTATGTTTAGGTTTAGGAGTTTCAAGATCAAGTAGTAATAGGAGAATGGTTATATCAATTTGTGGTATAGATCCATTATCTCATTCAACCAACCCAAATTCGTACTCATTATTTTATTATTATTTATTTATCTAGAAGTCCTGTATTTTAACTATTCACCATCTTTTTAAAGGGCAATCATATATATATAAATACTTTCTACATTCTCATATTTATATAATTGATAAAATATTTTAAATAAAGATATTACAAACAAAACATTGTCTTTTCTTATTTTTTTTTTTTTAAATTTTATATATTTTTTTTTTAAATTTATAATTTATATTCATCTTTATATAATAAATAATTATAAATTAAATCATATTTCTCATGTATAATAAAAATAATAAATGAAATATTTACAAGCAATAAAAGATTTGATTATTATTTTTTCTATTTTTTTAATTTTATTTTTTTTAAATTGATCAAAACACACCTGATACACAAATTAACACAACAAATAATTTCCTACAAAACCATATAAATTATGAAACAAAAATAAAAAATAATATATTTACAAATATAAAATGTTATACATATGAAAAAAAGCGAAAAAATGAAATTTTGGAATTTGATTTTTAAAAATTTGGATTTTTATAGATAAATACTATAAATAAAAAAAGAAATTTTATTGAATTAATTTAATAATTTTTGGATGCTATGCTGCTCCCTAGAGATTATCCCTATTTTTCTTTGTTTTGCATTGTGGAGCCCACATGCATTGCACATGGGTACTTTGGTAGATGTACCCTTCAAATCTAACCATCCATTTCTCCACTCTGGAGTAGCTCTAACTCTGCAAACATGGCAGGCCTCTGGCTTTTCTTTGGGTGGTCTGCCCTTCTTTCTTTTTTCTACAACTATAATATTTGTAGCTGGCTCCTCTTTTACTACAACCTTTCTATTTGTTGCCCTTCTTTTATATTTACCACGTGCCATTTTTCTGATTAAATTTATTAAAAAAAAAAAAAAATTAGTAAATGGGAAAATAATTAAATATAAAGAATACAGTACTAAAATTATACCTATTTAAAATATGAAAAATTATTTGATTAATATATGAATTGAATAACTTTAATAATAAAATTGAAATTGATCAAATTGCTATCTAAATAATAAAATTTAAAGAAATAAAAAAAAAAAAAAAAAAAAATTAATAAAAACAATTTTGGGCAATTCTCGAATATTAAAGATGGATATAAAAAAAATCCAAAAATTGCTTTAATTATCATAATAATAAAAAATTGGTTATTGTTGTATCTTGTTTTTATTTCTTTTTAAATTAAATTCATCTAAAAAATAAACAGCAATATCGGAATGTTTCTGAGTGATAAATATCCGCTGACCCATTATATTGCCCTTTATATTTAATAAAATTACAAAAAAAAAAAAATCAAAATGATTCACATAATTCACTTCAAAAAAAAAAAAAAATATTCATTTGAAATTTTTTTTTTTTTAATTTTTTTTAATTTTTTTGGATCTAAATAAAAAATATGTAATTTTAATTGTTAATTTTGATTTTATTGGTTTAAATATTAAGTATTTTGTATTGCGTAATATTTAGCACCAATTTTTTTTTTTTGTAATATAAATTTTCAAATATTTGGGTGAATGAATCTCATTTACTAATATGCCAAAAAAAATGGAATGAGATGGGGGTAATAATTTTTTGTAAAAAAAAATTAAATCTTTATAATGGGGTGAATTCCCCAAAAAAAAACTGCTTTTTTAAAATGTTAGATTTTTTACAATCAAAGTGGATATGTTGTAAAAAACACCACGTTGCTATGTACATCATTTTGTGTAGACTCTTTTTATTAAAACAGAAGTGATATAATCGAGATGAATATTTTAAATAGAAACATTAATCTAATATCAATAATAAAATCAATAGTAACAAACTTCAAATGCTATATGTATTTGTTTTCTTGAGTTTTTACAAACAAGTAATACATATATCAATTTAATATATATTATTTTACTCTATTGTAGTAATTATAAATAAAAAAAAAATTTTTAAAAAAAAACTCAATAATAAAATAAATTAATTTTTAAAAATATCAATAAATAATAAAAATATCTTTTAATAATTTAATAGAAATCATTTTTATTTGATATAAAATTTATATTATAAATAAAATTAATTTTAAAAAAAAGAATTTTAATTTATATTTAAAAAATTTTGTTTATTATCTAATTTTATGATTTAATGGGTTTATCAATACCAAATTTTTTTTAATTAGTTTGGTTTTGTCTTTGTTGTATTTGTGGTTATTGTATCGTGGGTATTGTGAGTATTACAAGTATTGTCAGTACATGTTGTTGTTGAATTTGTTGTTGTAGTGGAATTTGTTGTCTAATCTGTTGTAGATCATTTAACTGTTCTCTTTCTTGTTCTTGGGTATTATATTGATAAATTTGTTGTATCTTTATTGCAGTTAGATGTTCTATCTCTTCTGGGGTTGATATACGGTTTGAAAGGTTTGCTGGGTATTCATATCATGGAAATTTGATTAGGTTTGAATGGTTTGTAATCAAAGAAGAATTTATAGATAATAATAAAAAATGAAGTGAAACGAAATATTTAATGCTATTAAAAAAAATTTTAAATATTTTTTAAAGTTATTTGGTATAGTATATTTATTTATTTTTTTATTGTGTGATATGGAGGCTAATTGCTTTTTTTAAACTTAAATTCTAATTTTATATATATATATTTATTATTTCTATATTTTTTTCTATTTATATTTTTTTGACATTATATGAATGATTTTAGAAAAGTGTGGATGATGGTTTTTTTTTTGTTGAAATTACCCAATTATACAATAATAAAAAAACACATTGGGACGATAAAAAAATAACAGCAACAATATGATAACTACAATAAAAACAACATATTTTTATTTATAAAACTGTTTTAGTGTCTCGTTTAAGAAAATAAAAAAATAATTCTCTTTATCAACACTAAATTTAACTGCTTCACCTTTAGCTTCTCCGTCTACCAGGTAATAATCATCAACTAATTTCTTAAAAAATTACCAGTAAGTTGCAATTTACCACCTTCAGTTGATGGTAATCCAGAGAGAACATAATTTATTGGATACATGAAATTTGTTAGGTCAACTGGCTGATTACATAAATCTTTATTCTTTATATCCATACATTTATTAATACTATTTCCATAAAAGTTTTTTATCTGATCTTCATCCAACTCCATAACACATTTTTCACTGTTGCATGTTAATGGATAAACAGCCTTTAAATTTTTATAGGTCATAATATAAGGAAAAATTAGCTGTTCGTGGATAGTTTGTGTCAAATTCAATATATGATCTGTTGTAATACCAAACCAATAAATATTGATAGATCAAATGTACCAACATATCCATAATTTAATAATACACAAATAATTATATTAAAATCTTTTGTTAAAAAATTCTTTGTGTTTCTTTATTTCTTTGATTGCTGCTGCCATACATTCTACAACTATTCGGAGTTAATTTTACTAATGTTGTTGATTCGTAATTTACTAGTTTCATTTGCTGAGTCTTTCTATTATGGGTGTTTTTATTGTGGCTTCTGTTGTTGATGTAATGGGTTTTTGTTTATTATTTTAACTGGCAAAGGATCTATTCTATCATCATCTTGTGTGATTAACAATCTTCTTTTGAGTGATTTCTTGTGAGTGAACATCTTCCAGGTGTGCCAATAATTATTTTTTGTGGTTGGGTTATGAGAATGAGAGTTGGGTTAATATACTTTCATCTTGTATTGAGTTTGTTGGGATTATAAGAGTTGTTAATGTAAGGTCATCTGATTTCTTCGTGATTCTATACTCTGGAGTAAGTGGAGGGGTAAATTTGGTTATCAAAATGTTTGCATAAGATAAATCTATTATTGTAAAGTGAATCATTATTTTGAACTTGTTCTTGTTTATAAATTTGTTCATTGCCTAGATTGTTGATTGGAATTATTTGTTTTGTAATTTACTTTCAGTTTGAGCTTGATTTTCTTCATGTTTTTGAAGTATCAGTTATTTTATTTGATTGTGGTTTTACTGTGGCTTTGAGTTTGGTTGATACTACTATCATTATTTTGGATATTGTTATTATAATTGATAATTTCGCTATCATTAATAGCTATTATTATTTATGTTGTTATTAGTGTTTCTTATTGGTCTCTTGTTAAAGTTTCTTATAGAACAATAAGCTCGATATTGCTATTTGTGTATAACCCATTGGGAATCTTTTTCTGAGTATCGTTAACAGTGAAGAGAAGGTTGAGCTACTATTATCGTCTATTTCTGTGCTTACAACAAGTTTATTATCTCTGATAATTAATTTGAAATTATTATTATTATTCTATTACTACTAAAATTATTATTGTGTCTAATCTTATTTTTATTTGTTGTTATTGTTGCAACTACGTTTTAATTTTAACTTTTTTCGAAATCTATATTAGATTTGAGTGGTGTTCTTCAAGTATGATTATTTCCAATAGCTCTTCAAACCATTTGAATATTTTATATTCGTTCTTATTTGCTCAAATTTGAATGTTTCTTGAAGCAGTGATTAAGTAACCTCTTTTTAATTATTTCTATAAACTATTTTTATATCGTTAGTTAATACCGAATATTTTTTTTTTACCACGTTCTGCTATATGAGAAATAGTATTTATATTTACCTTTAATGATTCAAAGTTTGAATTATTAAAAACTTTACTTCAATATTCTTTACTGAATTTTCATTTTCTTTTTGGATAAAGGCCATTATATCTTTTAATATATTCTCTGTTTAATTTAAATTCTTTACTGAGGTTTGCAAAGATATTGCAATTATTATCTGTCTGGTGTTATAAAAACTATTGTGGCGTATTATTTTTTTTTATGAAAGAAAAAATAAATAAAATTTAAATCACTTTTTTTTTTAAAAAAAAAATTATTAGAAATTTCTTATTAATATTAATGAGAAGTTGGTTGAGATTTTTTTTTTTTCGTTTTTTTATAAAAAAATAATTATAAATTAATTTTAAATAATTTTTCTTATAAAACTATCTATTAAATACCAATCATAATATTGCATAAAAAAAATTAGTAAAATATCATGCAAAAATTTGTAATAATAGTTTTTTAAATCACAAAGTTATTAATAATTTAAATATATTTTAATTATAAATGAAGAATAAAATAAAACAGAAAATAACCCGGTTGTAAAATTCAAATAAAAAATATTTTTTATATATTATTTTTTTTTTATTTTTTTAATTGAATAATTAATCAGGTCCTTTAAAATGAGAAAAAATTAAAAAAATAAAAAAAAAATAATAAATGTTATTATTACCATAACAACGGTTACGGCTTTTCAAAAAAAAAAAATTAAAAAATAAAAAAAAAAAATTAAAAAATTTTCAATTTTTTTCCATTTTTTTTTTTTTTTCAATTTTTTTCAAATTTTTTTTTCAAATTTTTTATTTTTTATTAAATTTCCTTTATATATGTAACCGTTGTTATGGTAATAATAACATTCAAGTTAATCGTGATATTCTAGATAATAGCAAAAATTACGAAATTAACGAAGAAAGAGATGTACTCCAAACTTTATGAAAATTTAGAAAACGACAAGCTAAATATATTAGAAGATTATGGTTATGTTCGTGGCGTTGAATATGAAGAAGAAGAAGAATTTTATTCATTAGATGATGAAAATACTAGTGGTCAGACAAAATTCAATTTTGAAACTGGGATGAAAGACGTCGATAAGCTACAACCTATCTCTCAAATTTATTATCTTAGAAGAGTACTCACAATTCGTCAAAGCTCTTGTTATCGTTCAGAACCACGTGCCAGTGATACTTTCTTTAATATATGTACCCATGCAGGTTGTCAACAAGTATTCGTCCAACAGAAAACTTTTATCAAGCACATTGGTTTAGATCACACCTTGATTGTTCCAACTGAGGAACAAAAAGTAGAATTGGTTAAAGCTCAAGGTTTTGAATTTGCAAATGATTTTCATAAATTAAATGTTAAATCAAAAGTGAAAGGTTCTCCAGCAATATTATTTTTAGATACTGAAACTACAGGCCTCTCCGTAGCAACTGATGAAATCATTGAAATCTCAATTATCGATTTATATGATGGTAGCCACTTTTATAAACTCATCAATCCAACAACAACCGTTTCAAGTGCTTCTGCATCAATCCATGGTCATACAAAATAAAAAGTTTAGCCAGGTAATGAGTATCGGTGTGATATGGAACCATCGCTTATTGAATATCTTTCAAAATATCAAGAATCAGGTGCTTACATCATTGCTCATAATGAAAAGTTTGATAGAGGAATTTTAGTAAGTCAAATTGGTAAAAATGCTGCTTCTGTTCCATCCATGTTTCCTTCAATAGTGTTTGTTGATTCAATTCCAATTTTTAAAGTTAAAAGCTGGTGATGATACTCAAGATGGTGATACAGATAAAGGTACAAGTGCATTGGAATCGGTCATTAATGGTTTTAGTGCAATTAGTCTCAAGAAAATATTTGGTGAGGATATCAAAAAGAATTTAGAGAAGAATGTTGAAGGTAAAATGAAGAAAGCGGAATATGTTAAAGTTATCTCAGATTATTTAAAAGATAATAGATCCCAAGTTACAACTGTGGTTAACAAACTAAAAGAAGATAATCGAATAGTTAAGAAAAATAGAAATGAAAAGAAATTGGAAAATAAGACCAAGGAATAAGCTTTGTATAAAAATCAATATTAATTTTCTTTTAATATAAATAATGTATAATAATAATGTATAAATAATGTATAATAATAATGTATAATAATGTATAATGTATAATAATCGATCGAACATTATACATTATTATACATTATTATTATACATTATTATTATACATTATTTATACATTATTATTATACATTATTACCTATAACACACACACCAATTTTGTTAAACCTAATTTTATAAATATACACATAACTACCAAAAATTTTATTCAATAAAATCTATCTCTTACACTAATAATATAAATTATATCATTAAGTAAGATTTTTTAAAAAAAAAAAAACTATATCTTTGTGTAACTTCAAAATATTTTCATTTCCCATATTATTATGATTGTTTTTGGTTATTGTTATAGTTATTTTTAATATTGTAGTTCTTATTATTATTTTTTCAATCATCCATTGATTATATTTAGTTATTAATATATTACATTTTTTTTTTATTAGGGAAAAAAAATTAAAAAAAAAAAAAAAAAAAAAAAAAAAAAAAAAAAAAAAAAAAAAGTATTTCAGATCCATTATTCTTATAATTTAATATTTAAATTTATCAAGTTCATAAAATATTAATAAATAAATATAAATATAATCATATTTATCATATATATATATATATATATATTTTAAATGGCATGTTTTGATCCACCGCAT